CCTTTGATATTGGCAGTTTGGAGGGATATGTTGTGTATCTTTATATGTGTATGCTTCTAGACTGTTGTATTCTGAGCACCTCTGCAAAAACAGTGATAATGTGCGAGTGTGGTGAAAGTGTTGAATGATGATGAAAGTATTTTCTTTTTGGGGATTTTCTTTCTTTTTTGGGTCACCCTGCCTCGGTGGGAGACGGCCGACTTGTTGAAAAAAAAAAAAAAAAAAAAAAAAAAAAAAAAATCCCTTTGACTCATCTGAGTCTTCAACTTTCAATTGTGACCTCTTGTGTCTGTGTCCCTTCTCTGGAACATCCCGTCTTTGCCCACCTTGTCTATTCCGCGCAGTATTTTATATGTCGTTATCATGTCTCCCCTGACCCTCCTGTCCTCCAGTGTTGTCAGGCCGATTTCCCTCAACCTTTCTTCGTAGGACAATCCCCGTAGCTCTGGGATTAGTCTTGTTGCAAACATTTGCACTTTCTCTAATTTCTTGACGTGCTTGACTAGGTGTGGATTCCAAACTGGTGCTGCATACTCCAGTATGGGCCTGACGTAAATGGTATACAGAGTCTTAAACGAATCCTTACTGAGGTATCGGAACGCTATCCGTAGGTTTGCCAGGCGCCCGTATGCTGCAGCAGTTATCTGATTGATGTGCACCTCAGGAGATATGCTCGGTGTTATACTCACCCCCAGATCTTTTTCCTTGAGAGAGGTTTGCAGTCTTTGGCCATCTAAACTATATTGTGTCTGCAGTCTTCTTTGCCCTTCCCCAATCTTCATGACTTTGCATTTGGCAGGGTTAAATTCAAGGAGCCAGTTGCTGGACCAGGCTTGTAGCCTGTCCAGGTCTCTTTGTAGTCCTGCCTGATCCTCATCTGATTTGATTCTTCTCATTAACTTCGCATCATCTGCAAACAAGGACACTTCTGAGTCTATCCCTTCCGTTATGTCGTTCACATATACCAAGAACAGCACAGGTCCTAGGACTGACCCTGTGGAAACCCCGCTTGTCACAGGCGCCACTCTGACACCTCGTCGCGTACCATGACTCGTTGTTGCCTCCCTGTCAGATATTCTCTGATCCATTGCAGTGCCTTTCCTGTTATGTGTGCCTGATCCTCTAGCTTCTGTAGTAACCTCTTGTGAGGAACTGTGTCAAAGGCCTTCTTGCAGTCCAAAAATATGCAGTCGATCCACCCCTCTCTCTCGTCTTACTTCTGTCATCTTGTCATAAAACTCTAGTAGGTTTGTGACACAGGATTTTCCTTCCCTGAAACCGTGCTGGTTGTCAATTATACACTTGTTTCTTTCCAGGTGCCCCACCACTCTCCTCCTGATGATCTTCTCCATGACCTTGCATACTATACACGTTAGTGATACAGGTCTGTAGTTTAGTGCCTCATGTCTGTCTCCCATTTTAAAAATTGGGACTACATTTGCCATTTTCCATACCTCAGGGAGTTGCCCAGTTTCAAATGATGTGTTGAAGATTTTCGTTAATGGCTTACACAATATCTCTGCTCCCTCTTTAAGGACCCATGGAGAGATGTTGTCTTGTCCCACCGCCTTTGAGGTGTCAAGCTCGCATAGCAACTTCTTCACCTCCTCCTTGGTTATATGTACCTCATCCAGCACTTGCTGGTGTGCCCCCCTGTTCTGATTTCCTGGAGTCCTACTGGTTTCCACTGTAAATACCTCTTTAAATCTTGTGTTGAGCTCCTGACATACCTCTTGGTCATTTCTTGTGAATTCCCCATCACCCTTCCTCAGTCTGATTACCTGGTCCTTGACTGTTGTTTTCCTCCTGATGTGGCTGTACAACAGCTTCGGGTCAGTCTTTACTTTTGATGCTATGTCATTTTCATATTGTCTCTGAGCCTCCTTTCTTTATTTATTATTATTATTATCACACTGGCCGATTCCCACCAAGGCAGGGTGGCCCGAAAAAGAAAAACTTTCACCATCATTCACTCCATCACTGTCTTGCCACAAGGGTGCTTTACACTACAGTTTTTAAACTGCAACATTAACACCCCTCCTTCAGAGTGCAGGCACTGTACTTCCCATCTCCAGGACTCAAGTCCGGCCTGCCGGTTTCCCTGAACCCCTTCATAAATGTTACTTTGCTCACACTCCAACAGCACGTCAAGTATTAAAAACCATTTGTCTCCATTCACTCCTATCAAACACGCTCATGCATGCCTGCTGGAAGTCCAAGCCCTCGCACACAAAACCTCCTTTACCCCTCCCTCCAACCTTCCTAGGCCGACCCTACCCCGCCTTCCTTCACTACAGACTGATACACTCTTGAAGTCATTCTGTTTCGCTCCATTCTCTCTACATGTCCGAACCACCTCAACAACCCTTCCTCAGCCCTCTGGACAACAGTTTTGGTAATCCCGCACCTCCTCCTAACTTCCAAACTACGAATTCTCTGCATTATATTCACACCACACATTGCCTCAGACATGACATCTCCACTGCCTCCAGCCTTCTCCTCGCTGCAACATTCATTACCCACGCTTCACACCCATATAAGAGCGTTAGTAAAACTATACTCTCATACATTCCCCTCTTTGCCTCCAAGGACAAAGTTCTTTGTCTCCACAGACTCCTAAGTGCACCACTCACTCTTTTTCCCTCATCAATTCTATGATTCACCTCATCTTTCATAGACCCATCCGCTGACACGTCCACTCCCAAATATCTGAATACGTTCACCTCCTCCATACTCTCTCCCTCCAATCTGATATTCAATCTTTCATCACCTAATCTTTTTGTTATCCTCATAACCTTACTCTTTCCTGTATTCACCTTTAATTTTCTTCTTTTGCACACCCTACCAAATTCATCCACCAATCTCTGCAACTTCTCTTCAGAATCTCCCAAGAGCACAGTGTCATCAGCAAAGAGCAGCTGTGACAACTCCCACTTTGTGTGTGATTCTTTATCTTTTAACTCCATGCCTCTTGCCAAGACCCTCGCATTTACTTCTCTTACAACCCCATCTATAAATATATTAAACAACCACGGTGACATCACACATCCTTGTCTAAGGCCTACTTTTACTGGGAAAAAATTTCCCTCTTTCCTACATACTCTAACTTGAGCCTCACTATCCTGTAAAAACTCTTCACTGCTTTCAGTAACCTACCTCCTACACCATACACTTGCAACATCTGCCACATTGCCCCCTATCCACCCTGTCATATGCCTTTTCCAAATCCATAAATGCCACAAAGACCTCTTTAGCCTTATCTAAATACTGTTCACTTATATGTTTCACTGTAAACACCTGGTCCACACACCCCTACCTTTCCTAAAGCCTCCTTGTTCATCTGCTATCCTATTCTCCGTCTTACTCTTAATTCTTTCAATTATAACTCTACCATACACTTTACCAGGTACACTCAACAGACTTATCCCCCTATAATTTTTGCACTCTCTTTTATCCCCTTTGCCTTTATACAAAGGAACTATGCATGCTCTCTGCCAATCCCTAGGTACCTTACCCTCTTCCATACATTTATTAAATAATTGCACCAACCACTCCAAAACTATATCCCCACCTGCTTTTAACATTTCTATCTTTATCCCATCAATCCTCCTTTCTTATCTGTGCATATTCATTTCTGGCTCTTCGGCTGATTTCTTTATTTTCCTGAGTTCTTTGTCTTCTGTACCTTTTCCATTCTCTAGTACACCTAGTTTTTGCCTCCCTACACCTTTGGGTGAACCACGGACTCATTCTGTTCTTCCCATTATTTCTGTTTCCCTTGGGAACAAACCTCTCCTCTGCCTCCTTGCATTTTGTTGCTACATAGTCCATCATTTCTTGTACTGGTTTTCCTGTCAGTTCCCTCTCCCACTGAATGTCTTGAAGGAAGTTCCTCATGCCTGAGTAGTTCCCCCTTTTGTAGTTTGGTTTTTCCCAGCCTATTCCTGCTACTCTCTCCACTTGGAGCTCAACTATGTAGTCGAAGCACAGAACCACATGATCACTAGCTCCCAGGGGCCTTTCATACATGATACCCTCGATGTCCAAACTACTCATGGTGAATACAAGGTCCAGCCTTGCTGGTTCATCCTCTCCTCTCTCTCTGGTAGTGTCTCGAACATGTTGATGCATGAGGTTTTCCAGTACCACATCCATCATCTTGGCTCTCCATTTTTCGGGACCCCCATGGGGCTCCAGGTTTTCCCAGTCAATCTCCTTGTGATTGAAATCACCCATAACTAGTAGCTTTGCTCCCCCCATGTGTGCTCTCCTGGCCACCTCGGCTAGTGTGTCGATCATTGCTCTGTTGCTCTCATCATATTCTTCTCTTGGCCTCCTGCAGTTCTGTGATGGGTTGTACATTACTGCAATTATCACCTTATGTCCCTCAGACTGGATTGTTCCTACTAAGTAGTCCCTTTCGCCCGTGCCATCCATTCCTTCCATTTTCTCAAAACCCCACTGGTTTTTAATGAGCAGTGCAACTCCTCCTCCCCCTCTCCTCCCTCTGTCTTTCCTGAGGATTTGGTATCCGGATGGAAAGATTGAATCTGTTATTATTCTGGTGAGTTTTGTTTCTGCGAGTGCTATTATGTCTGGGGATGTCTCTTTGATTCTTTCGTGCCACTCCTCATACTTGTTTGTTATTCCATCTGCATTTGTATACCACACCTTCAACTTCTTTTCTAAGACTGTGGTCTGGGAGGTATATTGGGGTTGGGGAAGTGAGAGACCTGGTAAGGAACTATGGGTTGTTGCTGTGGGGGTGGAGTTTGTAATGTAGTGGGTGGGGGCATTGGATGTGGCATGGGTGTTTTGATTTAGAGTGTTTGGTTGCACTGGGGTTGACCTGGTTGTGTGTGTTTGTGTGTGTGTGTGTGTTATGGATTAACATCAAAGAAATAAATTACATTATTTCTTTGTTCAAACTTATTTTCACAATGTTAAAGCAAAAATACAGTATATACTTGACTTGTTTGATAAAAGGATCATTACTAGCAGTCTGGAAGTTCTGGCTAAAAGCATGATATACATAATATACAGCACATAAATAGTGCAGTGTTATATTTACTCACAACCATATTGTTGGTGGTAGAGCAAGAACCATTTGTTTCATTTTCTTCATCATCTTCATCATCTGGGATTTCTTCATAAACAACTTCTTGAACAATTAGTTTCTTCCTGAAAATATAAACTGTTATTTAACTGAAAATATTCCTTCATGCCCCAAAATAATTTTCACAAAACAGAGAAATACAAGAGAATAAATATTTTGCTGCAAAGAGTAGATTTATGTAAAAGAGTCGCATGTTTCTACACAGTATTGGTAGACATCATCAAATGATATAGTAAAAATACTTGGAATAAGAGTAAAGTGGAGCCTCGGTTTACAAATGCCCCACCATGCGAATTTTTCAGGATACGAACTGTCATTCGGTCGATTTTTTGCTTCTGGATACGAATGAAATTTCAGGATGCAAACTTTCCCCTCAAGGGAGGTTCCTTAAGTAAATAAATATATAAAATATTTATTTCTTTGCAAAGGTTACAATGTGTGTTTACACATAATATTATTGGAGCAGAGAAAGCCACTATCATGCTGAGGCATTTCAGGCAGACTTAACCCAATACTAATAGACTACTTTAGTCTAGACAGGTAAAAAGTGTACTAGTAGTGGCTACCAATGTTTTGCTGATGGTGGTGCTAACTACTGGCAGCCTTCTGAAGTTTCTCCTTACTGTTATTATTATTATTATTATTATTATTATATTGTATTATTATTATTGTTATAATTATTATTATTATTAGTATGTACGTGGTGATGGGCTCATGATCTAGAGAATTGGATCTGTGTTCCAGTTCCCTAAATTAATAATAATAATAATAATTATAATATGCATGTAATAATAATAATAATAATATATTGTTATTTTTAGACATTTTTCATAATTTTTTTCATATTTTTGTGCCAAATGCTTCAAAATACAAATTGGTAATGCTCTGGGTGGCTGTAGCTACTGCTAGACCACGGCTATCTCAGTGCCAACCAAGGGTCAAAAGGAAGAGGAGGTGTGCCACCCTGAGTGACCGCAGCAGACCCTTGAGATGTGTAATTTTGTCTTTTATTGTACAAATTTCTTACACAATGCCTCGCCCAAAGAGACAGTATTCGTGTACAATCAGCAAGAAGCAATTAGAAACTATGAAAAAAGCTAGAGAAACAAAGAAGGCAGCAGCATAGAGTGACGCAGCTGGCCCCCACCACCACCATCACTGTGGCTGCCACCACCATCACCATCACTGTGGCTGCCGCCGCCACCACCACTACCACCACCACTGTGGCCACAGTGATCACGTCTCCACCTATATATACATCTTGACCACACCTGTGGTTACATATGTGACAACCTCACCACTAATCATAGATAAACACAAGCTAGGTGTGGGGTTATGGACTGGGAAGATACTAAAGTGGGAGAGCAAACAGCGGATGCTTTCTGCCGCTGCCGGTGTCACCATCACTTGCCATATTATGGCCTATTTTATTCATTCTAAAGTATATATCATGTTTCTATGTTATTAATATTGTTATGTCATATCAGATGAACTGTGATAGATAACTAAACCGTTGAGTTGTTGTTAGCATTGTATTGTCATGCCTCCTGAGAGGCTGGAACGGATTAATTGCATTTCAATTAATTTAAATGAGGAAAATTGACTCAGTATATGAACAAATCAGGATACGAACAAGGCCACGGAATGGATTAAATTCATAAGCCGAGGTTCCACTGTATAGAAAACACTGGTAATTATTTTCATATACAAACTATTTCTGGAACAGAAGATAATACTGAACAAATAAGTGTCAGTAGAGTTCCCTCTTTTCACCCTTAAATGGTCCAAATGTATATATACGTTCTCTCGCGTAGCGCCCCAAATGTATATATATACGTTTCCTTTGTGATTCATTCAACATTGGCACGATAAGCCTGAGTCGCCTAGCCATGAGAGAATGGGTGTGCACACTCACTGTGCACCATATGAAGAAAATTGGGGACGCCTGGGTACCACATGCTCCTTTTTCCTATTAAAAAAAAAAAAATCCTCAAAAAATTCGGGGCGCTACGTGAGAGAACGTACATATACGTTTGGACCGTTTAAGGGTTAATGAACTTCCCAGTCAAGGCATTAAAAAATCTTACCAGCAATGACATCACAGGCTAGTCTATTCCTTGTGAGTATATGAAGAACATTTAAATTTCCTGGGACTACCTTTCCTCAGCTGTACACAACCAACATGATTACATGGGTTGCTGCTCTCCATCCTTCTATTACCATTAAACCCAAAATGTTTGCAGCAGGATTAAATTCCTCCAACCCAGCTGTGATATAATAAAAGAATGAATCCTGCAGAATAAGGATTACAGTACTATATTATAGATTCCACATTAATGAAATTAATGTTTAAATTATCATGCAAATCAAATGATCATATACAAGTAATCTGTTCAAAAACTACCAAGAAAAAGGAAAATCTGCATTTTAATCTTACTCCCTGTCGAATTAATGAAGTGGAAGAATCAGTAAAAAATCCATCTCTTGAGACTTACTTTTACCAAAAAAACTATGAACATACAAGTTACACCAACAAGAAATGAATTTGGTAAAACAGAGAAAAATCCAAAATTCAATCATAATCCTCCTCTATCTTATCCTCCCTCCTCCACTCTACCAACCAGCCTGTCCTTATCTAGTTTAAATCACATATCACAAACCTGTAAATACAGACCATATATACCATGCAGACAGGCCCTGTCTTGCCCTTATCTGACTTGGATCACTAAACTTAAAACCTTGGGTAACTTTAAAAATAGGTTGGACAAATACTAAATGAGTTGGATTTGAGTAAGACCTGCCTAGCATGGGCCAGGTGGCCTACTGCAGTACTCCTCAAGTCATGTCATTTAACAGTTGGGAATGAGTAGAACCTGCCTAGCATGGGCCAGCAGGTCTACTGCAATTATTTATCAACTGTCACATTTATTTTTGTCCAAGTGTTTTTGAAGTAGAACTATTTCTCATTAAAAGTCCCTCAAACACTAGGATACACTTATCCACAAGATATACAGTGGTACCTTGACTTACAAGTGCCCCAACTTACAAGTTTTCTGAGTTACAAGCAGTCGCTTGGTCAAATTTTTCCTTTGAGTTGCAAGCCAAAATCCAAGTTACGAGCGAGCTTCAGATACACCCCCACCAGTTGGCACAGCAAACACAACATCCTCCCAGCGTTTTGTGCTTTTTGTGTAATTATTTTGCCAAATTTCTTTTTTCTAAGCATGGTCCTAAGAAAGTAAGTGCAAAGAACAGTACTGAAAAGAAGAGGAGGATGATGTCCAATGAATTAAAGCATGAAATCATAGAAAAACATGAGAAAATCACTTTTGTTTCAGTGTTTTCCTTATGAAACTAACAATCTAGTGCAGTTAGCTTCACAAACACTCCATTTTCTCTTATAATAAGACCTCAGAAGGGCAAGAATGGGAAGACTTGGTCAGAGCAACAATTATTTTTACCTCTGGAATGGCTGCCACCACTCGTCACATAATGACATTCTTTTTTTCATTCTAGAGTATATATCATTATACCCCTTCAAGAATATTTTATTATTCCACATACACTTTTTAAATTGCACCAAAGTGGTTGGGCCACTTACCTTTTATATCCTACCTCTCCCCCCCCCTCCCACCCTTTTCCAATATTTCTATCCTTACCCATCCTTCTTCCTTACCCATCTTACCAAAGACTCTGGTCATAAGAAGAAGAAGTATATATCATGTTTCATTTTTTTTATACACATTGGCCATTTCCCACCAAGGCAGGGTGGCCCAAAAAAAAGAAAAACTTTCATCATCATTCACTCCATCACTGTCTTGCCAGAGGTATGACTATACTACAGTTATATAACTGCAACATTAACACCCCTCCTTCAGAGTGCAGACACTGTACTTCCGATCTCCAGGACTCAAGTCCGGCCTGCCAGTTTCCCTGAATCCCTTCATATATATTACCTTGCTTACACTCCAACAGCACGTCAAGTCCTTAAAACCATGTGTCTCCATTCATTCCTGTCTAACATGTTCACACGCGCTTGCTGGAAGTCCAAGCCCCTCGCACGCAAAACCTCCTTTAACCCCTCCCTCCAACCTTTCCTAGGCCAACCCCTACCCTGCCTTCCCTCCACTACAGATTTGTATACTCTTGAAGTCATTCTATTTCATTCCATCCTCTCTATGTCCAAACCATCTCAATAACTCCTCCTCAGCCCCCTGGATAATAGTTTTGGTAATCTCACACCTCCTAATTTCCAAACTATGGATTCTCTGCATTATATTCACACCACACACTGCCCTCAGATATGACATCTCCACTTCCTCACACCTCCTTGTTGCAACATTCACAACCCATGCCTCACACTCATACAAGAGCACTGGTATAACTATACTCTCATACATTCCCCTCTTTGCTTTCATGGATAGTTCTTTGTCTCTACAGACTCCTCAGTGCACCACTCACCTTTTTTCCCCTCATCAGTTCTATGATTCACCTCATCCTTCATCATGTTTCTATGTTAATTATATTGTTTATCATGTCATATTAGATCAATTGTGATAGATAAATAAGCCACAGAGTTGATATTAGCATTATATTGAAGCATTTTCTCCTGCCTCCAAAGAGCCAGGAATTCCACTGGAACGGATTAATGGCATTTCAATTAATTTCAATGAGGAAAACTGATTTGATATACGAGCAAATTGAGTTACGAGCTCAGCCACGGAACAAATTAAACTCGTAAGTCAAGGTACCACTGTATAAGCAAGCACGATTCATGTGTAGAAATCATAATAGCTAACCTGAGGTAATATCTAGTAAATTTAACTTCAACAACAGAAGACATAACAGTGAGAATAAAGATGGTACTAAATATTTCTTGTGAAACTGTCCCAAACACTCTTAACCAGGCCAATGTATGGAAAAGCTGAATATGAAGATTGTATAAAATATTTCCAATTTTAAATTAAATAAGAGACAGATAGATTCCCTGTACCTTATTCTAACATTCTTTTTTGCTGGTGTGCTATAGGGTGTTGGAGGACAAATGAAACCATCTGGCTCAGCATTCATTATAGTGGGACCTGTGTTTGACTTTTTAGAAGAGGGCGGCGGCATCATCATCATTTCTTCTTCAATAAACTGTAAGTCTACATCGTCAAAATCATCGGAGTCTTCCGAAGGCAAGGTTCTCTTAGCTCTCCCTCGACCTCTGCCACGACTTTGAAAATATTGTCTGGAAAACAAAATCTATACAGTGATTATAATACTATAAACATTTACTGTCATCAGCAACAAAATAAAATAAAAAAGAAGACATCAGCTGATCAAGAACAACACTATTTGCAACTCTCCTTGGCTTTTGAACAAACTCCCACACTAAATGATGCCAATGTGTGGGGCATCCATTCATTATCTTTGATATTTAATAATGTTGTAAATCTAAGATAAATAGGTATCATTTATGCAGTATGAAGACACTCATTAATATTTAGTTCAGATTCAATAATGGAAATATTTTATATAGATGGATGGATAGAAGTAACAATATGTGGCTCCACATTAACATAGCAGGAGCATTAAAACTAACTGTAAAAGAATAACTGACTACAAAAATATAAGAAATTAGCAAACTAACCAGGTAAAAATTAATTCTTAAATGTGTGAAGTAGGAAAACGATTAGAACATTTTTTCTAAGACTTATATGAATGCCATTAGTGCCAATAAAGAGTACAAAGACCTTTTTGGAAAGTAATGCATGAATGACTAATACAGAGGTGTATTTCAGAAATGTTTTATTCTATTCTTTTCAAAACAAACTTTAATGTATATTATAGCACTTTTTTTGCAAATGAGACTAAAAAAAATTACATCCAAAACAGAACAGTATGTGTCAAGGCCTTCATAGTACATGCTATTAAATTTTGGATGCAGTTTTTCAATCACATTTACAAAAATCATAATACTATGTATAGAGAAGTGTTGTATGTAATTTAATACATACCTCTGTATACTGTATACCCCTGAAATAGCGTCTATGGTTCTTACCTGATACGTTGAGCTTTTTTAACTGGTGAAGGACAAAACATTTCTTCTGGTTCAGATTTAATATACACTGCAGCGTCAACTGGTTCTTCTTTGATCTGGACAAATTCCTGCACACCCCTACCTCTCCCACGCCCTCTGCCTCTTCCTCTTGATCCAACGGGTCTGCCACGACCCCTACGTCTAGTAGGCAGTTCTTTGTGCATCTCTGTGCATGGAATACAAATATACTTTAATACATTTTATAATTATCAAACTGAATACCAAGGCACATTTCTAATCCATATGTGTAGGTATACCATACCAGTAACCTATTCAAAGAAAACACTGAACTACCACATGGCAAAAAGTATGAGAAACTGCAGAAAGTAGCAGAGGTGCTGAGGAAAGGGTATCAGCAGAGGTGCTGAGGAAAGGGTATCAGCAGAGGTGCTGAGGAAAGGGTATCAGCAGAGAAAATGGCAGGAGGAAGAGGATAGGTGACACAACACAGGGTGATGTCGAGAATCTACCTCATATGGCATGCTGTAAATTTGAACATACTCCTGCTAACAAATTTCTGTAAAATGAACATACTGTAATATACACTGAAAAGAAAAGATAAACAAAGGATTGTTGTAACCTATAATTACATAATCTCAGGACCGTGCCAGTATGCAAAAATTCAGCTTTGCAGAGCTCTCTACAAATTTTTTATTATTCTCTCTTTTGTAAGAAAGTGCTTAATAGGGATTTGAATGAAGGATTGAATAAATGCAGTACATAGTTTACAGATATACTAAAATGATTTACCTGGCATATTCTGATGCATCTGCATGTGTTCATTGAGAAGGGAAACCTTGTTGAACTCCTTTTCACACATAAAACACACAAAGATGCTGCCATCCTCCATCTCATCATTGTCTACTATGATTTCGGTCCCTTTTTTTGCCATTCCCTAGAAAAATGAAAGGAACATTAAGTTTATTACAAAACAGTAAATCCTTGATTTAAGAGACTAATAGGGAGAGCTGGTGGTCAGTAAGATAACTGTGATGGACAGAGATGAGATTGGCCATGATTATAATACACAATTCTATAAACAAAGGACTTTGTTCACCATTTCTGAATCTTACTGACCCAGCTGATTTTGTCTCCACTAAACAGTGGTCTGTTAAAGCAAGGATTTACTATTATCATTATTTATTACAACAATTATTTTTGTTTATTAGGAAAAGTCCTAAATAAAAAAAACTTTAACCAGACATTAAACTAAGACAATCTGTCGAGTTAGATATCAGGCCTCAATCAACTGGCATACATCCAGCACATAACTGATAAGATATAACAGGTCTCTTAAAGGTCAGTTCCTAGGAACTAGGAAGTTAAGAACCAGGTACAGGATCTAAGATGAACAACTAGGCATGCACCACTATGCACATATGATGTGAAGTTAATGAGAAAAATTAAATCAGATGAGGATCAGGCAGGACTATAAAGAGACCTGGACAGGCTGGACATGTGATCCAGCAACTGGCTTCTTGAATTCAACCCTGCTAAATGCAAAGTCATGAAGATTGGGGAAGGGCAGAGAAGACCGCAGAAAGAGTATAGGCTAGGTGGACAAAGACTGCAAACCTCACTCATGGAGAAAGATCTTGGGGCGATTGTAACACCGAGCACGTCTCCAGAGGCACACATCAACCAGATAACTGCTGCAGCATATGGGCGCCTGGCAAACCTGAGAATAGCGTTCTGATACCTTAGTAAGGAAAGGTTGAAGGAAATCAGACTGACGACACTGGAGGGTCAGGGGAGACGTGATAACGACATACAAAATACTGCGTGGAATAGATAAGGTAGACAGAGACAGGATGTTCCAGAGAGGGGACAGAGAAACAAAGGGTCACAAATGGAAGCTGAAGACTCAGACGAGTCACAGAGATGTTAGGAAGTATTTCTTCAGTCATAGAGTCATCAGGAAGTGGAATAGCCTGGCAAGTGATGTAGTGGAGGCAGGAACCAAACATAGCTTTAAGACGAGGTATGGCAAAGCTCAGGAAGCAGAGAGAGAAGACATAGTGGCGATCAGTGAAGAGGCAGGGCCAGGAGCTGAGTCTTGACCCCTGCAACCACAATTAGGCGAGTACATACAAATATACAGTGGACCCCCGCATAACGATGGCATCACATAGCAATTATTTCGCATACCGCTTACTTTAATTGCAAAAATTTTGCCTCACATACCGCTTAAAAACCCGCTTACCGATTTTCGTCCGAGACGCGCTCACATGTTCCGCCGGTGGCATTGTTTACCAGCCAGCCTCCGCGGTAACATCCAAGCATACAATCGGAATATTTCGTATTATTACAGTGTTTTCGGTGCTTTTTCTGGAAAATAAGTGACCATGGGCCCCAAGAAAGCTTCTAGTGCCAACCCTACAGCAATAAGGGTGAGAATTACAATAGAGATGAAGAAAAAGATCATTGATAAGTATGAAAGTGGAGTGCATGTCTCCGAGCTGGCCAGGTTGTATAATAAACCCCAATCAACCATCGCTACTATTGGTGGTACAGCTGCTGCTGCTGCTGCACTGTCAGCTGCTGCTGCTGCTGTAGCACCGTTGTTGGTGTGGCTTATTGAGAATACCAAGAAACAATTAACCCCAGAGGATTTGCCACCCAGGATAACCCAAAAAAGTCAGTGTCATCGAAGACTGTCTAACTTATTTCCATTGGGGTCCTTAATCTTGTCTCCCAGGATGCAACCCACACAAGTCGACTAACACCCAGGTGAACAGGGAAAAATGCCTGGAACTAGTGCTCATATTGGTGAATTTAAAGCCAGCAAAGGTTGGTTTGAGAGATTTAAGAATCGTAGTGGCATACACAGTGTGATAAGGCCTGTTCTGGAAGAAAATGCCAAACAGGACCTACAGTACTCAGGAGGAAAAGGCACTCCCAGGACACAGTGTCTCATCAGTCATTGCTGCATCTTCAATAAAGGTAAGTGTCATTTATTCTTCATTTAGAAGACTAGTACATGCACAATATATACTGTGCATGTACTACTCTACTATTGCGCATGTATCCTTCTCTTTGTGTGTGGGAAAATGTATATTTCATGTGGTAAAATTTTTTTTTTCATACTTTTGGGTGTCTTGCACGGATTAATTTGATTTCCATTATTTCTTATGGGGAAAATTCATTCACATAGCGATTATTTCGCATAACAATTACCCCTCTTGCACGGATTAAAATCGTTAACCGGGGGTCCACTGTATATACTTCTCAAACTATGCAATGTATGCCCAAGTAGCAGTACAATTAAAGATCTGAGACAAGATACAGTACTACTTTTTTAATTTATGAACCAAGGAGTTTGCACTAAATTATGATTTTTTTCATCTCACACTAATAATCACTACCACTACTTTGTAGTTTGTAATGAACAGAATGCATTCCATCCATTTTTTCTGTCCTACATATCATTTTAGGAGATCTATATTAGAAAATATGACAATGTTTTTATACATAGTAAGCTCTTATATAAAGCTCCTCTGTACAGTGCAATTTTTGGTAAATGGCATCCAAACTTAAACAGCTCACAGAAAAGCCTTTATAGTATGTGTTATTCGATTTTGGAGGCAGTTTTTCAATTGCATTTACAAAAAATTAAACTACAGTATGTAGGATAGCTTTATAAGAGTGCTGACTGTACATAAAAAAAACTGATACATAGCCAAAAGTAAGTGCAAATCTAGCAATCAATTAAACCTACTTTAGGTGCTTACTCATCTAAACACTGACTGTTTATATGAATATGTAGATCTTGTAAACTATTATGCAGGTGTAGCCTTCAGTGCCCCTCCTAATCAACCAGACAAATGCTAGCTGAAACTTAAGAATAAACGCAAGTCAATATAACCAGATTATTATAATCAAAAGAGAAGCGCTAAAGCTACAAGGGTCATACAGCATTAACAAAACCAGAATTGTCTGTGTGACTGCTGTACCTATTTCTACCACAAGAAGTTATACTCATAGTGTGTGTGGTCATCATTAATATGTTAATCATAATTTTAATTTATATAAATCCATATCCTTTTATAATCTTATATGTTAAACCCTCTCTTCCTCCAATCAGTCAGCTGATCATTTTTAGCGTTTTCAGTCTTATGTCGTATTTCATAAATTTTAGTTCTAGGTTGTTCTGCCAGTAATTATGTACTCATTTTGCAATACTATTTATTATCTTGGTCTACAACTGGTCTAGTATAAAAGCCAATGTCTCGGTGATCCTTGAGAGTTTAGCAATCAAAGATAAAAGGTAGGAGTACATACTCTTAATAAATAACAATAATTAAAAAAGCCTGTCACTGAGGTGGCAGAGGGTAATACTATTAAGGATTTTTTATTTCTAATATGAGATTACAAACTTTCAAAGTATATAATACTGAGAGCAGTGCCAACACCTCGGACATAAATATAGCTTTATTAAACTTAAAATACTTTATACAAAGTGATATTTTCTTTTTTCTACAATGACTGCATTAAAGGACAATGAACTGTAGTGTGTGTGCCTCTGGCAAGACTGATAAGAGTGAATGATGGTGAAAGTGTTTCTTCTTTTTCAGATCACCTTACCTCATTGCAAGAAGTTTTGCATCCATAATCTAGCAAAAATTCTTTTTACAATGGTCTTGAGGGCATACATCATGGGCACAAAATATGTTGATTTAAGATAGGACTCCAATGACAATAAATCACATTGACACAATTGGGTTACCCTAGACCTGTCAGGCTGCCACAGGTACAGTATGTACCATGTAAGATAACCTAATAAAGTCAATGTTACTTGTTTCTGTTGTAGCCCCTGCATTATTACATTTGTGGGAGGGGAGAGGAGAGGAAAAAGCACTAACCACATAAGAGTTTTACTGTTCCTGGGGAAATGGGAGGTAATCAGGTTGAATCCAAGGAAGGGTAGGTCAGGTCCAATTTCCTAGATCAAGAGCCCCTCACCACCATCAAGGGACCTCCTTTAAGGGGTGGAGCCCCTACAATAAGTGGTGGTGACCCTACAAAAAGTAGGGATTACAAATGGACTCTCAGTGGATATTAAAACCTTGTGAGGTTAGAACGTACATATAATAATGGACTGAAGGTTGTAGGCTCATGATTATAATAATGGAGTTGCACTGAACACCATGATAGACAATCAGTTTTGATCCAAGGAAAGTATGTAGGACAGACACAAGCAGGTATTAAGACAGTTATTACAATGTTTGGTGTGGACTTAAGAATCCCCTGGTGGGTGAAATATGTCCTCAATGTCTTAATATTAACCCACATGTTTCTCACACACTTGTTGGTGTTTATCATAAAGTTTAACTTATGCTAAGAAATGGTGGGCAGCTCCAGTTTCTTGAATGAAGAGCTGTAAAAACTGAGTGCAGGAGGTAGATGTTTAACCCCTTGTTAAGTAGAGGTAGAAGAGTATTATACATTATCAGTGTTAGAGGTCAATCACTCTACATCACCATGGTTCTTCTGACTCGAGGCCCTCATCACACCTCTGAGGTGTGGGAGTCTCCAACACCACCACCACTGTTGCGACAATGAACGAGGGAGAGTGAGTAACGAGGAAGAAAGCAGCCAGATAGAAGAGGAAGATCAAACTGGTCGATGAGCGACCCATGAAGGAGTCTCCTGGCCAGGCGCTCTCCTGCTACCCGTCACTACACCTTGTCTACCACCTCTCCAGGTCACCCATGCTGCCCCCAGGGCACCCACCACCCCTCACACACAATACCTGGGGGTAATAAAGACAATACAAGGGTGAAACATACTGAGTGAGGCGAGATAACGGTGTTGTATACAGTAATGGATCACAACACAGTGAAGCTGGTTCGTTGGTTCCTCCCGGCCACCCATCACCATTACTTACTCTCTCTCACTATATTACCACCTATACTCTACACTCCACACACACACCCATAACACCCACTTTTATACTTTTTAAATAATATCTAAGATTGTCCTTTTAAACCGTTCCGTTTTCTGTTCAGAATGTTTTAAAACGTGAGGTTAGAGGGGAGGGTCCAGCAGCTGTACCCATATTATTACCTTCATAACCCAGTTACAAGTACCTTCTTTATCCAGTTAACTCATCTGCATTGTATTATACTGCACATAATCAATTTATATGTTGAATTTATTAATTATTTATTGCAAGAAGTAACTATAAATGGACTAAATTGACTCTGACATACTAGGATATCCCAGAAAATCTTCAGATTGATTTTGAATAACTTTGCACTGCCCTCGTACCATAAAAATCGATTTTTATATATGAAATCTAAACCTTATGATTTTAACACCAAGAGTTGTTCAGGATATTATGAAATATTTTTATACCCGCTTATCCCCTAATTTCAGCAAAGACACATTTAAGTTTGTACACACAACTTTTACAAAGAATAAATAAAATATAAAAAACTTTCTGAAATTAAGAAAAAGCTTATTGTTTTGAGAACACTGGCGAGCTTAACATAGTTGGTATTTATCTTGTTTTCAGATCATTTATAAACTAACATGTTATCAAGATATGGACCAGCCATTTATCGCTCTCGAATATCATTATTATTCCTCTAATTTTAATTATCAAGAAAGGAAATAAAAGGTTGAACAATATATAATGTTGTGTCAGGTGGTGGTGTGAGGCAGCTCTCACTGGACGCCTATTAATCATTAACTTTAAGCTCAAAAACCTATTTATACAACATATATTTACATTCTCTTTAATACTTTATAATAGATACTCCAGCAGAAACTATCTTTAAACTAAACACAAAATAATGTTTAACCTCTCGTCTAATAGTTAATTTATTCATCTTAAATATGAAAACAAATTTTAGGGAGAGTTTTGGATGAGGTGCGAAATTACTTTAGGTATACAGAGATGATACATTCAAATTCAAATTCAAATTCAAATTCAAAGTTTATTCTCTATAAGGATTACAATGCTGAGTTTACAGAATTTGGTTATTGCGTGGTTTACATGTAGTAAAATACTAATTACAGAGGGGCCCACTAGAACACCTAGCATGGCTAGGAATTTAGGGCAGACTTAGTTTAATTCTTAATTTTAAAATATTACAAAATTATGAGGTAAGTTGGTATTATGGCTAAGTGACTAAATACTAGTTTGTGAGCTTAGCAATGTGAATGCTTTTGTTTTGGCACAGTACATAGTTTCAGTATTGGAGTATCACAGGCCAACTTATGACTAGTTAGGATTCATTATTTTAAGATTGAGATTGATATTTCTGTTTATTATGAAATGGGCGAGTGAGTGTAAGTGTGAACCACCAGGTGGTATTCGTGTAATTAGTTGACGGGGTGTATAAGGGAGATAAGATGTTTTCTAATGGTAGTTTTGAAGGTGATGAATGTGTCTGCAGTTCTAGAGTTTTCATTTAGGGTTTACCTGGAATTTACCTGGAGAGAGTTCCGGGGGTCAACGCCCCCGCGGCCCGGTCTGTGACCAGGCCTCCTGGTGGATCAGAGCCTGATCAACCAGGCTGTTGCTGCTGGCTGCACGCAAACCAACGTACGAGCCACAGCCCGGCTGATCAGGAACTGACTTTAGGTGCTTGTCCAGTGCCAGCTTGAAGACTGCCAGGGGTCTGTTGGTAATCCCCCTTATGTGTGCTGGGAGGCAGTTGAACAGTCTCGGGCCCCTGACACTTATTGTATGGTCTCTTAACGTGCTAGTGACACCCCTGCTTTTCATTGGGGGGATGGTGCACCGTCTGCCAAGTCTTTTGCTTTCGTAGTGAGTGATTTTCGTGTGCAAGTTCGGTACTAGTCCCTCTAGGATTTTCCAGGTGTATATAATCATGTATCTCTCCCTCCTGCGTTCCAGGGAATACAGGTTAAGGAACCTCAAGCGCTCCCAGTAATTGA